AAGGGAGAGCCATCAGGATCCCCAGAACTCTTCAGAGGGGGACTGTGAGCTTGAGAGACCCAGTGCCTCCTCCCTCAGACCCAGGGTCCAGGCCCAGCCTCCCCCCTCAGACCCAGGGTCCAGGCCCAGCCTCCTCCCTCAGACCCAGGGTCCAGGTCCAGCCCCTCACCGGTCTCTTTCACTCGCTCCACCACAATGATAGTGTTGACTCTGTCACCTCGGCTGCGTCTCTGAGGTCGGGGTGTTGCAGGGGCCTGCTGATTGGGGAGCTCTTGAGAAACTGGGGGACCTGCGATCCGGGCTGAGGGAGGAGGAGTGTCCGGCCCTTTAGGGCCAGAGTCCTGAGGGGCCTTCAGCTCACTGGTCCCTGGAGAGTCTGAGGTGGGCAGTTTAGAGAGGTCGGGCTGTGGGGCTGTATGGGTCTCTGCTGGGGGGTTCAGGTGCAGTCCATTTAAGGCAGTGACTTCATCCTGGAGGGCCATAAGCGTTTCTGGGTGAAGACTAGTGGGGGTTTCAGGCGCAGAGGTCACGGGGATCTCCGTCGCCTCTTGGTAGTGGGTGGGGGGGGACTGTGTTCGAGGAATGTCAGTAGGGCTGGCGTAGAGCACAAGGGACTGTGGATGGGGGCTTTCAGTAGGGTCAGGATGGCTTGTTTCAGGGAATTCAGACTTTGGGATCTCAGTGGTATCCGTGTCCTGGGTTTCTAGAGATTTGGGATCAAGGGCCTTGGTGGCGTCAGGATTTGGGGCCTCAGGGGTTTTCGCATGTGAGACTTCAGTGGTGTTGAGTTGAGGATCCTCTGGGAATTCTTGGTGTGTAGTCTGTATAGGGTCAGTGTTTGCGATCTCAGGAAATCCTGGGTGTGAAGTTTCTGAGAAATTAGGTTTGGGGGTCTCAGGGGATCCTGGGTGTGGATTTCCAGTCGGGTCAGGTTTGGGAGTCTCAGAAGTTTCTGTCACTTTGAAGGGGTTAGTTTTGGGGGTATCCAGGGGAGCTGACACTGAGGTTGTGTGTAATTCTGGCTTAGGGGTCTCAGGGGACTTGGGGTATGAAGTTTCTTGGAGGTGAAGATTGAGCGTCTCAGGGACGTGGAAGGGGGAGGTCTCAGGAGAAAGCGTATTAGGGGTCTCAGAGGGCTCGGGATAAACAGTCCCAGGGAATTCTGGGTGAGGCCCATCTTTAGTGGAGTTTTCAGAAGCACCAGGGGAGGTCTCAGAGGGATGGTCCATCCCCTTAGAGTCAGAGTCAAGAGGTGGAGAGGCTGAGGGGGCGGCCTTGGAACCCAGCTGGGCCAGGAGGAAGACGAGGAGGAGGAGGATCGGGTTGAAAGATTTCATAGCTCTGGGAGATGCCTGTAGCTGTTGGAGGAGCAGGAAGGAAGGGGTTAAGGTCGAAGCCTCCTAAGCCCCACCCACTCCCAGAGGCCACTTCTACTGGCTCCCAAGTGGACCAGGTCCCTCTAGGGCCCTGTTTGGTGCCAGGGAAAGGGGCAGAACCCCATTGCAGCTCCCCAAAGGCTGTAGGGCTGTCAGCGCCATCGCTAAGGAAGACAGAGGCGCTGAGCTTCTTTGGGGGGGGGTGGTTAATTTCCTTACCTGTTCCTCTAAGAGGTCCCAGAAAATTGGAAAAACCTGACACCTCTCTCAGCCCCGTACATCCTGCACTTTAACTATGGTGGGTGTGAGATCTCCCAGGGGACAAACCCTCCAGAGCTCCTTGACTCAACAATTGTTTACATGGAACCCAAGGAACCGCTTTTGGGCTGGAATCTGGGATCTGAGAGAGGGGGGTTCAGGATCCTGGATACTGCAGGGTGAGGGCACAAACGTTTAAATCCCTGGTTCTTTCCAGAGATTAGAAGACTGGAAGTTCAAGCCGGGAATGGTGGCACACACCTGTAAACCCAGAGATTTGGGAGCCTGAGGCAGGAGGATTGCAGGTTCAAAGCCAGTCTCAGTAATTTAGGGAGGCCCTAAGCAACCTAGTGAGACTGTCTCAAAATAAAAAAATAAAAATGGGCTGAGGATGTGGCTCAGTGGTTAAGCATCCTTGGGTTCAATCCCTGGTATCACAATAAATAAAGAAATAAAAGATTGAGTGCTGGGGATGTGGCTCAAGCGGTAGCGCGCTCGCCTGGCATGCGTGCGGCCTGGGTTCGATCCTCAGGCCCGGGTTTGATTGAGGTTCGATCCTCAGTGCCACATACAAATAAAGATGTTGTGTCTGCCAAGAAACTAAAAAATAAATGTTAAAAAATTCTCTTTCTTTTTAAAAAATAAATTATTATTTTAAGTAAAAAAAAAAAGATTGAATGTTTAAATGCTAGACATTTGAGGGAGTAAGACTTGCAGGGCTGGAGAATAGGGGGAGAAAGGACATAGGGGTCTGGAACTCTTGGGCCCAGTTAGAAGGAGTTTGGGAGCCCTGAGTCCTGGGCCCTCCAGAAATAGGCTCTGGAGGACTGGACTCCTCAGCTGGGTCAGGGGGAGCTTTGGGGCCGGAGCTTTGGGTCTCCCTGTTTATCAAGGATGGAGCTAGGATCTCCACACTTCAGGGGCTGGTCTGAGCAGAGATGCATTGGTCTGTGGTCAGGTGCAGGTGGAGGCAGCAGATGCCTGGATGGGACAGGGTCACTTGGGGTCTCTTACCTGCTCAACGGTGTCCAAGATAACAGCAGGTGAGCAGAGCTAGATGCAAAGACCTGTCAGTGTTGCAGAATGACTCTGGGTGGGGCAGCAGGAGCTAGGGTCCCAGAGGTGCACAGTGACGCACCTGACCCCCTCCCCGGGGATCCTGGGAACCTAGCAACAGCACTTAGGTTCTTAAAGGGACAGAGTGGAGAAGGGAGTTAGTGACCGAGTGATGTGGAGAGGATATGACCCAAACTACCTTCCCTTTGAAACCAAGGGTCTGGCCCTCTGCCTCGCCCACCCCGCAAAAGCCAAGGATTTAGGTCCTGGTACTTTCCTACCTGAACCCGCTGAGACAGGACCCCCATCTCCTTCCTATCAGACCCAGGAATGCAGACCTCCAGCTCCCTCCTTCCCCAGATTCAGGAATCCAGGTCCCCAGCAATTCCTTCTCAAAGTCAGGAAATAGGGTCCCTGTCCCATCCAATCGTAGACCTTAGAATCCAAGCTCTGTATATGTCCTCTCTGGGGAACTGGGATTCAGATGCTCATGTCCCACGTGAAGCCCTTTGGTACTTCCAGCCTCAGCCCTCCCAGCTACTGTGGGGCCTGCTCCCTGTCTGCTCTCTCCCTTGGGGGGTCTCTGAACTTGTGTCCCTCTACTGCTATCTTTCCTTCCCTTCTCTCTGGGAGCATTTTCCCTCCACCTTCCACAGGGGCCTGGCTCTGTCTCTCCTGTTTCCTGCCTGTGCCTCTCTTCCTCTGCTGCTTTCTTTCTTCCTCTCCTTCCCTTGCTTGGTCACCCTCTTTGTCCTTCCTTCCTGTGACAGTTTCTCCCATTTGTCTGTTTCTCCTCCTCTCTCTTGTTTTCCCTGGCTCTTTCTGTGTCTCTGATTTCTGCTCCTATGGTCCCTCTGCAGTCTCTATTTTTATCCCTCTGACACACCCACCCTGTGCCCACCTCTGTGTCTCTGTCTCTCCCCCTTCCTCTTCTCAGGTCTCAGCTCCTGGTCCCAATTAGTTGGTGGCCGCCAAGGAAGCGGCCAGGCCCCCACCCTGGGCTCCTCATTATCGCAGGCGGCTCCTAATGAGCCTGTGGGGGGAATTGACCGAGCGCCCCCAGCCCGGCCTGCGTCACTCCCGCCGGGGGCCGTGGAAAAGATATAAGGGGGCTACGGCGTCGTTGCCCAAGCCCACTGAGCGGTAGGGGACCTGCAGGAGGTTGTTGGGGTGGAGGGAGGATGGGGTCCGGGGTTCTGGTCCGGGTTAGACCGTAGGAGCTCTTCCTTCTCTCTCCTCCACAGGTGATGGAGACCCGCCAGGTGACCAGGAGCCCCCGGGTGCGGCTGCTGCTGCTGCTGTTCCTGCTTGTGCCCTGGGGCACCCGCACTGCCTCAGGTGTGGCCCTGCCTCCTGCCCGGACCTTCAGGTAGGTGCGAGGTCCTGCGAGGCGTGCGGAGAGACCCCAGGAGCGGCGGAGAAACCCAGAGAGAGGACAGAGACCGGCCTGAAGGGGCGGAGGGGATGTTAGGGGAGGGCGGACGAGAATCAGCAAGAGAAAGAGATTCCAAAGGCCGATTCCCAGAAAGGTGTGGAGAGACTCGGTGCGGAAGCGGATTCCTTCTTGGAGCAACGCTTATTGGGTTCTATTTTGCCAGGTAGAGCGCTGAGCCCTGGGGCCTGACAAGTGCGACAAGTGCGTGGGACTCGGTCTGGATTCTAAGAGTGCTTCCGACCTGGGGAGGGGTGGCGGGGGACAGATACACAGAAACAGAGACACCGACTGAGAGGAGAGGGGACGGGGCGGGCAGGGAGACCACGGCGCAGTATTGGAGCTTCGAGTTAGACCGCAGAAAGGACCCCCTGCAATGGGCGGGGGCCTGGCCTCAGGTAATGGGTCCTCCCGTCTCCCTACAGTCTCGGCACCCCCGGCCGGGCCTCGTGGGGTCCAGTCACCCCACTGTTGCGGCGGAGTCTGGCGCTGGCGGACGACGCGGCCTTCCGAGAGCGCGCGAGGCTGCTGGCCGCCCTCGAGCGCCGCCACTGGCTGAACTCGTACCTGCACAAGCTGCTGCTGCTGGACGCGCCCTGAGCGCCCCGCCCACCCCACATTAATAAAGACTCTGCGGCGAGCTCGCGCCTGTGCCTCCTTCCAGCGCCACCGAGTGTGTGTGCGTGTGTGTGTGTGCGTGTGTGTGTGTGTGTGTGTGCGTGTGTGTGAGCGCGCGGGCAGCACTGAGTCGGCCACTCGGGTGTCTAGCTCAGTCCCCTCTGCCTCCTTCTCTGGGTCTCTCTCCTCTCTGGGTGTCTGTCCCCGCCCGTTCACCCTCCTGCTTTCCCACCCTTGTGCAGACCTCCGCCTCTTCTCTCTTCTTTCTGCCTCTCAAACTCATCTTCCTAATTAATCTCCCTCCCCGCGTTGTCTCTGCTCTACTTTTCAGGACTTCCTTTTCCTTCGGGTCCCCATTTCTCTCCTTCAGCTCTTATTTTCTCTCAATTTCGCACTTTCCCTCTCTGGTCACCTCTAGGCTTCTCCCTGGGCGCGGAGGAAAGAACGCGGACTCTGGCATCTGAGCCCAGGCTCCCCTGAAACTAGCTTTGAGTCATTGGGAAGGGTTTAAGCTCTGTGCATCTCCTTCTCCTCATCTGTCATTGGGATCAAATGAACCCCCCAAAAAAACCTCCAACACAGCCTGACACGCAGAAAAACGCTTTTTAAAAATTGTCTATAGAGTTTTATTGATTGTTCAAAACATTACAGAGCTCATGATATATCATCTTTCATACATTTGACTCAATTGGGTTTTGAACCAGAAAAACGCTTTTATTAGAAAAGTGTCATTAATTAGCTGCCTCTCGCAGCAGCTCCCAGTAGTTTCTGGATTTCTGAATTGCGACCTTCTTGGGAAACTATCTGGGACAGTCTCGGGTGGGTTGGATAGGGGATGGGGAAGACCCCCTGGGTCACAGGTGAAGGAGAAACAACCAAAATCCACCTCTCCCCCGAGGCCTGACGGTCCTCCAGCTCCGCCCCTCGATCGAGACCGACAACTCACTCCTGGCTGCTAGCGGAGCTCACGGAACCGCGCCGGGTGCGGGGAGGGGCCGAGACAGCTCGTGCGGACCGGGCTCTGGTTGGCCTGAAGAAGAGGGTGGAGCCGAGAGTTGGCGTGCAGGAAGAGGGGCGGGGCTGTCAGATTTGTGGAAACTTGCATTTCCGGGAGGCGGTCGGAGTCCCAATTGGCCCTTACTCAGGCTGTGGGGGCGGGACTATGCTTATCTGAGTCAACCGAAAAAACAAGGGTAATCGTAATCCTACAACGGTCCGTGTTGACACCCCAACCCCCCTGGCTTCGTGCATTCTAGACAAGCGCTGTACCACTGAGCTACACCCCCCAGCCTAAATTGGCCTAATTTTACAAATAAAGAAACAAGACTGAAAGAAGCAATTTCCCCAAGTTGTCAGAGCTAGTAAGAGACAGAAGGTTAACTGGAATCTAAACTGCACAGTTTCTAAAGTCTAGACTCCCTCCTACTCTCAGGAGGAAATGGGTTAAAATGTTAAACTGCAGTTGCTGCATGCCAGCAACTCCCCACTTACTGATAATCCAACCCAGGACCTCCAGTGCTCTACCACTGAGCTACACCCCAGTCCTTTTAAAATATTGAAGCTAAATTGCCAGAGCTGACTTTGAATTGGGGATTCTGCCTTAGCCGCCCCTCCCTGGGGTTACAGGTGTACCCCACAGGGCCAGAATACCAGGCACTCATTCTAAGTGCTGCACATGTATTTACTCTTTTAATCTTATGACCTGGCAAGAAAACTCCTGTTTGCTGGAGAGCCTGGCAGTTGGGTACCTGTGTGGGCTCTTCCCATGCTCTAATTTCTCCTGGATCCCTTGCCTAGCAATAAAGGCCTTTTCACAAAATAGTACCTGGAACTCTTTCCTGCTCCACTCCATTCCCAGGAAAACTCAGCCATCCCCAGATTTGATTACTATCACATTTGGACTCCTCCTCCAGACCAGGAGCTCAGGACTGAGGGCACAAGGGTCCAGGCACCAAATGAGCTCTTTCCCCAAACCCACTACTCCCTGTCTTAGGAATGACCCAACTGTCCACCAGGCCTGGACCAGACCCTGGGTGCTGTCCTTGGTCCTTCTCTCTTCACCCTCCTTCACAGCCTGTCAGTTTCCAGCCCCATGCCTCCTGCCCTGCCTCTCTCTGCTCTTCCCTGCCTCTTCATCCACCTGCCCAGCCCAGGTCAGGCCTCATTCTCTCCTAGGTGGACCACAGCTCAATTCCTCCCACCTCCCTGCCTGCAGCCATAACCCTTCATTAATCCCCTCTCCAGACCCTGGCAGGTAGTTCTCCCGAGTGGGTTCTGCCTTCCCTTGCTCATGCCCTTTCACAGGCACTTGGAAATGAAGTTCAGGTTGGGTTCAAAGCCCTTCGTGGGTTCTTGCCCACTTCTTTATTTTCCACTATACTGCAGCAGCTTCAAATCCTTCCCTTGCTGTAATTCTTTTTTTTTTTTTAATCCCCAGTACCAAAAATAATAAATAAATAAATCCCAGCAAACGGATGCTGCCTGCCTCTTTCACACACACTGGTCTCTCTTCTACCACCTATTCTTTACACAGACCGTTTCCTCTACCAGTGACACCCTCCCCTGATCACTGTAACCAGTCAGAACCTATCTTTCAAGACTAAAGAAGGTCATTATCTGGGAAGATTCCCTGCATAACTTCAGTACCAAGACTGTGTGCCCGACACAGAGTAGATGTCCTGTGATATATTTTGGGGGGAGGAGGTTATTCCCCTGTTCCTCCCAAAATATGTTACTGGCACCTACTGTGTGTCTAGTACTCAGTCCGTGTACTAAAGTTGTTAGGGTGGGAAGGGGCTTGTAGCATTATAATGTATCAAAGCAATGAAGATGGTAAATATCAACAAGGTGAGAGGTTTTATAGGAGACAGAAGATTGCCCATTACTGACCTAGGATGCAATTAGGACTTGGCCAGCCCAGGCTCCTACCCATGGGGTGGTGACAGGACAGAGTTAAGACTCTGATGTTAGGACAATGCAAGAAGGAAAGAGGGATTAGGGAAGTGTCCAGGAGCCCCTTCAAGGCTGCCTGGCAATGCTTGGGGCTGTAACCTCAGAGGTTACAAACTAGAGGTCTATAGGTGACCACTAATCCTGTTTTATGGTCCATGCCATGCAGTGTTTTTCAATAACTTGAATGAGTTGCTGTGGCAGGTATTTAACTGCTTTCCCCATATGTACCCTTGCTAAAAGATTGAGTTTGGGCAGCAACATGTCCAGTCCCAGGAAAGGTGCTCAGAGCCCCAGGTCTCCCAGCCTGCCTTGCAGAGAGGGATGGTCCTGACAAACGGCTGGCTAATGAGACTTCAACACAAGACTGTGGGTGACTCTAGAGAGGCGGCAGCTCTCTGTTATGAAAAGCAAGGACACTTCTCCTTCGCTCTGCAGATGTGATGTAGGAAGCTACAACAACTTCCATCTTCTGAGCATGAGGGAAGGGCCAAGAGAATCCCAGAGACCCTGGTCTGGGGCTGCTGTGACTCAGCTGTGAGCCCGTGGCTGCTTGCCTTCCTCCAGACTTGTTTGGTGAGGAAATAATTTTTAGTACTGAAGCCATTGCTGGGTGTGTTTTGCTATATTAAGAAACAGAGTCACCAACAGTAGAAAACCAGGAGACTTCACATAAAAACTCAAGATGGGATGTGGATCCCTATGTACTAGCTCTGGGTGATCCCAAATAACAGTGGCATAACAATGAAGGTAACAGGAGAAATTCCCTGAGGGAGCAGTGGAACTAGACATTGCTCCCTGGGGAAGGAAAGCAGGATCAGCCCTGCCTCACACTGGTGGGGGCTGGAGGTAGCAGAGCTGCAGGTGGGGCCAGGTGGGGGGCTGGGACTGGCCCAGCAATAGGACTGAGAGCAGCAGCAGCAGTAGCAGCAGGCCCAGGATCGGGGCTGGGACCAGCAGGTGCTGAGTGACCCTGGTGGGGAAGAAGAAAGGGCTTAGAGTGGGTCCCAGAGGAGCCATGGTCTCTTCAATGTCTGACCATCTCCCCACTTCTGCAAATGCCTCGAGGGCACACCTGAGTCGCTGGGGGTGCAGGCAGCATTGGCCCCAGGGCCTCCTGACTGGGACCAGCTCTTTCACCACAGGCACCAGGGCTTGCTGGAACTCTGACTCAACAGAGCTGCTGGGAAAACAAAAGGGAAGGGAATCACTGCTGAGCTTTTTGTTTGTCCCCCAAGTTCCTTTCCTGTCACCATGGGTCCCATTACCTTTCAGGAGGGCTTCCTGGGATGTTTTCAGAGTGAGGGTCTCCCAGAAGGATCGGGGTATCAGTCTGGGAGGATAATGGAGACAAGGCTGAGGCACTGGGTCCTTGAGTGGGAGAGGCCCCGGGTCAGCCCACTGGTGGAGCACACGAGCTGGTGCAGCTGCTTCTCTGGGACACCCTGCCAGGGTGGGTTCCCAGTTGCACCAGCTCTGGTTGTGTGTTCCTTGGCAAGTACCATGCCTCTCCATGCTTTGCTTTCCCCTCCTGCTGGTGAGGGACGATGACAGCCCCCACATCACAGGCTTACCATGGAGACTAAATGCATGAAAGCAAGTAAAAAAGGGGGCGGGGCTCAGAACAGAGACTGGTCCAGAGAGCGCTCAATCCATAACTGTGGGAGCGGTTCAATATTATCTTCTCAATCTCCCCATCTGATTTTGGAAATTTCTAAGGTCCCTGAGGGCAGAAGGCCTCCACAGGTGCCCCTGCCTCTGTTGGGCCAATAACAGCATGGACACTCCTTGATTGGGACAGTCTTCTTGCTGATGCCAGAATCAGCAGGTGCTTTAGGAGTAAAGCCCCAAAAGACTTCTCCAAGGGCCAGGTCCAGCCTACTTTGCTACCTTATCCCCCTCGTCTCCCTGGAAGGAACTCCTCTCTATAGGTCTGGCCTTCCCACCCCCAACCCTTTTGCTCCATAGATGATGACAATGACAGAAATAAACCAATAAAAACAGAATACCAATTCCAATTGCTATCCTCACTACTACTGGCTACTGGGCCAGGCATGGAGTGGGGCCTTTTACCATGTGGTCCTTAACCCTGAGAGCTGGGTGAGGTCATTGCTGTGTTAGCTGTGGGGATGCTGGGGTGGGGCCTGCCTCTGGGGAGGCATGGAGAAGGTGGATTTTGGGACAGGGCTGCTCAGAGCTAAGCTTCCTCAAGGGCAACCATTGTGGCCAGTTTGGACCCTGGAGTCCCAAGTATCCGGACACGGCCAGACATTTGACCAAGCAAACTCCAGTCCAGCTCTGGATTCCTCGGTCTGGACTGTGACTGCCTTCCCTCTTCTCACCATTTCTTTCCCTTCCTTTGCCTGAGTCAGGCTTGTGCCTCCACCTTGCCCTACACTGTGAGGAGCAAAGGAGCCAGAGTGTGGGGCTCCTTCACTACAGGGTGCTGCACCCCGGAGGGAGTTCTGAGGCTGGCTGGGGAGGGGGGCACTCAGTGTGTGGGTGCATGTACGTATGCATTTATGTAATATGGGGGTGTAGCCACGTCTGTGAGGCCATGGTGTGGTGGCTACAGCCCTGTGCGTGTGGTTGGGGGATCTCCTGGGAACATTGTGGCCGCCCACTGGGCTCCTGGTCTCCCTGCTACCTCACCATCTGCTCTCATTAGCTACAGTGAGGACCTTGTTATCTCTTGACCAAATGATTTTTCTCTGTGCTCCTGAGGAATGGGGGTGTGGCTGGGACTGCCTACCGTGACCAAGCTCTCTGCTTCTTCCTCTTCCTCTCTTCTGGACAACCTGAGTTGACAACAAAGTCACTGTAAACACCCTCCCCATGTGCCTGTGGTGGGGCTGGAAGGTAGCTTTCAAAGCAGGGTCTTCACACAGAGTGCCCATGGATGGCCCTGGGGGTGCCCTGCAGGGGAATTTTCATCAAATCTTTTGTGTCCCCCCCAAGGGTAAGGGGGCCTCTTTGCTCAATTCACTTTCTCAGCTGCTACTTTCCCTTTATCTCCCAGCCAGGAACTAAAGCTTGGCTCTCTCAGACCCAGGGCACATGCAGATGCCCTCTTGATTCTCAGTGGCTTGTGCCATTTCCAAAGGAGGCCTCAGAATTCCTGGGTCTCTGAGGACTGGGACTCCAGCTTAGATCCCCCTGTCCCTAGAATCCAACTATTTGAACTCTGCCCCACTCCAGGTCATTTCCCTTAGGTTGTATAAACTCCCTGCCTCTGCTCCTTCTTGGGTCACAGGTACCTGAGTCCCTGCAATGCTTCTTTGGGGACTCAAGCTACCCAGGCTGATTGCTCCAGAGACCTTGCTCCACAGATGTCCACACCTTCACTGAGGACTGGGATCCAGCCCTGCAGCACCATTACCACCAGCATTCTCAGGGTTGTAGCTGTTTCCTCAACTCCCACCCAATACAGGACCTAAGCTTGTAGGCCCAGCCCTGCTCCATCAGACGGAGCTCTGATCTACTGAGACCCAGGCAGTTTCATCTCTATCCCCTCTTGGAGTCAAACCCTCAACCTTGGCTACCTTTGAGGCCACAGTATTTACTACCCCCTCACTCCCAGCTTCCCAATCTGTGGTCACACAGCTCCCCGACTCCGGAAATGCAGATGGCATCAGCACCCCCGCCCCCGCCCCACTGCTCAGCCCCTTCTTCTCTCTATTCCTGATGACGCAGGTGGAGGTCACAGCTCCAGAGCCCCTAGCCCGCCCCATCTCAGCTCTTCCCAGACAAGTCCAATTAGAGGCCATGGCAGGCAGCCTCATTAGTCGCTGCAGCGGGAGCCTGAAAGAGGGGAGGGGCAAGAGGAGGCACCACAAGAAACCAGGGGCTCCAGGGTAGGTTCAGACATCTAGTGCTTTCTTCATGCTCAGAGGCCTGGACTCCCAGGGCTGGAATTCAGGAATACAGCCAGAAACTCACCAGAACCCCACATGATCTCACAATTCACTGGGAACTCTCCAAGGGCCTGATCTGGGTTCCCTGGAGGCCTCATGAAAGGTGTGTTCAGGGAGAGAATGACTGAGACACCGAGCTGTCCTATCTGTCTGACAATTGTGTCTTCCTGTCTAAATGTCTCCAGGACTGACTGATCCAGTCCTCCAGGGCCCACTCAAGCATCACATCCTCAAGAAGCCTCCCTGCTGGCAGAGTCAGGTGCGAATCTTCTGGAACTGTCTGGGTCAGGGTCTGTCTTCCCAAGACCCAGAGGCACGGAGGACTGACTCATCTTCTAGTCCACAGGCCTCAGGGTCCCCTTAGCAAAGACATGACTGAGTGAGCAGAGGGGCATGTCCCCACTGTGAACATCCATGGATGGGACATCGCCCAGAGGCAGAGGGAAGGCTCAATGGGGAACAAGCTTCTTACCGCTGCAATGGCGCCTTTGTTCCTTCTTTAAGATGTGCTGTCTCTCCCTCGGGGTTGCTCTGTGCAAACAAAAAAGTCAGCTCTAGGGCTGGGGACATAGCTCAGTTGGTAGAGTGCTTACCTTGCATGCCCAAGGCCCTGGGTTCAATCCCCAGCACCACAAACAACAAAAAAGGCCAGCTCTCCCCTGACTCTTCTCACTCAGATGCTCATCCCTGAGGGTCAGTCACACCCATCCCACGCCATGCCCACTCTCCCCATGTCCCAGACCCCATATCCAATGGCTCTCCTGGCTGCAACCTGACCATGAACTGACCACTGTCTTCTAAGCTCTCCTCTTCTTCCCCACTACTTAGAGATGACCCTGTTATCTCTCCAGGGGCAGAAGCCAAAAATGCCATTGTTACTGATTCTGCTCAGGCTCCTTTTGCTGTAGGACCCAGTAAACCAGGTCCTCTAAATCCCTGGGACACCTCCAAAATCTCTCACTCTCACCTGGGTCCACAAGGAGGTCAGAGTTCCCAACTCCCTTCTCCTCCCTGGTTCCCAGTCTTGGGTGGTCCCATCTGCTCTCCCTCAGGACCCAGGGACCTCCGTTTTCTCCACAGACATCTCATTGTTGCCTATGACCTCAACTGCCAACTTGACACTGTTTTCTAAATACACTGCCTCTGATAGCCCTGTTGTCCTCAGGATGTCACTTCCCGGTCACAAGATAAGCTCAGTGTCTTCCTTCTCTTTTCTCATCATCACCCTCTCTCTGCAGCCCATCTGTCCCCAGCCCTGTCCCTTTACCCTAACTCTCTGTGCCTTTTTCTCCATCTCTAGGATCCTGCCCTGACACAGGCTCCATCCGCCTTGCCCCAGCCTCCTCCCTGGCCTTACTGCCTCTGGTTGGTCCCAGACAGTTCTTTCTATGCTCAGAGCTGATCCAGTTCCTCCTTGCTCACAGCTATTTTGTGATTTTATGGAAAAAAGTCCAATCTTGTAGCTTGGTCAGGTTCCTTTCATTAACTTCCCAGCCTCATCCCTTGAACTCCCCGCCAGCTACCCTGTACTCCCCTCTAGCTACCCTGTACTCCCCCCCAGCTGCCCTGTGCTCCCAAGTTAGTACTGATCTTACGCCCCAAGGCCTTGCACCGGCTGTTCCCAGGAAGGCCTCATTCCTTGAACACCTTAGCATCTTTTCTCAAAATAAGTTCTCACATCATTTTCCCTTTGACCCCCATCCCCATCTCCCAGACACTCCTTCTCTGAGCGCCACTGTCCTGTACTGGAGTGGCCCATCTGCATGCTCTATCAGGCCTTCAGCATAGAAGGGCCTGGACCTGAGCGACCCAGCTGTGTGTCCTGGCCCAGCCCAGTGGCACCCTGAGGCCTGGATCAGCCTTCCCCCTCTCAGGCCTCTCACTCAGGAGCACCTGAGAGCTCAGACCAGAAGCCCAATCTAACCTTCATTTCCTTTGAGGGCTATGGCTCTGCCCCAAGAGGCTGAGCCTGGACCTGTGATCTTTCTCTGAGCCTCATTTTCTCATGAATTCTAGGATGAGGTCTGAGAATGCCCACCTCACAGAGGTGCAAGAGAGCTAAGTGAAAAGCACTGGTGTAAAGAGAGATGACAGGCCTCTCAACCCGTGAAAAAGTGACCAGAGGAACAAATTTCTCCTTAAGGATAGTGAGAAGGTTTGAAGTGGTATAGTTTTTAAGAAAATACATTTTTTTTTATGGGGGGGATTTAACTCAGGGCACTGGACCACTGAGCCACATCCCCAGCCTTATTTTGTATTTCATTTAGGGACAGGGTCTCACTGAGTTGCTCAGCGCCTTGCTGTTGCTGAGGCTGGCTTTGAACTCACAATTTTCCTGCCTCAGCCTCCTGAGCTGCTGGAATTACAGGTGTGCGCCACTGTGCCCAGCAAGAAAATTCAGTATTTTTTATAGAGCTGGGAATATTTTTTTTTTCATCTGCAATGCTAGATGAGCATCAAACCCAGGGTCTCATGTGTGTTAGGTAAGTGCTTCATCACTGAGCTATACTCAAGTTCACTGAATATTTTAATAAAAAATTATTTTGTCATGAATTGATTAACACCTCCTTTTTAGGTTGTAGACACTGAGGAAAACTTAACTCAGTTCTCTCAAATGATATTGAAATATTGTTCAGATAATTATGGGGGTTAGAAGACAATGATTATTTCTGAGGTCAAGATCTAATAGTGAGCTTGCTAAGCTTTTCTTAAAAATGCCTCCTGGCTGGGCATGGTGGCTCACACCTGTAATCCCAGCAGCTCAGGAGGCTGAGGCAGGAGGATCAGAAGTCCAAAGCCAGCCTCAGCAATTTATTGAGTCCCTAAGCAAATTAGCCAGATTCTGAGTCAAAATTTTTTTTAAAAAAGTGTCTCCTCTTCAAAACATAAATGCTTGCTGGGCATGATGGATACATCTGTAATTCCAGCTACTCTGGAAGCTGAGGCAGAAGAATCTCAAGTTCAAGGTCAGCATAAGCAACTGAGTGAGACCCCCTCCTGCTGCCCCCCCCCGCTGCCCCCCCCCTCTCAAAACAAAGAAAAAGGGCTGGGGTGGTAGATCCATGGTAGCACTTGCCCACATGTGCAAAACCCTGGTTTTGGTCCCCAGTACTGGGAAAAAAAAAAACAACAACAAAAAAAACACAAATGCTTAATGTATCCTTATGGTCACAGGATATACAACTTACTTATCTTCCTACAGAATTAAGTAAGGTGATTCCTGACAGTGTTTTCTGAAAAAAGAAAACACCAAAAGCCACAGCCCAGTCACACGTTCACTTTGTTCACTGGTGTCTCCCATGACAGCAGGCAATCCCTGGAGGGCAGGGATGGGGTCATGTTTGGCTTGTGGCTGGATACCCAGCATACAGCAGATCCTCAATAAACATTTGTTCATTGAATGGGAAACAAGTAAAAGGAGGAGCCAAAGTGAGTGGCCCATGGAGTTGTTCTCCCCTTTTCCAGTTCCTAGACTCTTGTGGTCTCAGATACCCTTCCCTGCTCACCTGTGCCCCAGCTAGGATTTCAGATGAAAATTCAGTTTCCTCCTGGGGCTCATTGATGACCTCCTCCCACTGCCATACTCCACACAGAGGACTGGAGAGATCAGAACCTGCCATTCCCTGTTTCAGTGAGGAAGTTGTTTCAGAGTCAGAGAGGGTCACACTAAGGCACAAGATAAGGTTAGAGATGGAGCTGCAGATGGGCTTAGTGTGGGGCTGGGAATAGGATGGGAGGCGGAAAAGGCCTGGTATGGAGCTGAGGTTGGGAGGGCATGGAAGGAAGAATAGGAAAGGGTTTGGTGCTGGGGACTGGGTTAGAGATAGATAAGGAATAGATGGCCATGGGGGGCAGACAGGATAGAGATGGCCAGTGCTGGGTCAGGCTGGGCCTGGCACTGGCAATGGCTCTGGGGCTGGGATCTCAGACACAGAGAGAGTTAGAGAGGATTGGGAGTGTCTTTGGCAGCCAATTGCCCGGGGTTCTGAAGCCCTGGGCTGGGCCAGGTGTGAGAGTCAAGTGGGGAGACATTTGGAGTTTCTGTGGTGGCCCTCAGGATATTTCTTTTTTCTTTTCTTTTCTTTTTTTTTTTTTTAAAGAGACAG